CCTTTCCTCTTTCTCCTCATTCCTTCCATCCATCCTTCCTTCCATCCATCCCTCCTCCCTCCCTCCTCCACATTTTCCTTTCTCTCTTCCTCCCTCCTCTTCTTCCTCTTCCATTTCTTCCTCCCTCTCTTCCCTCCTTCTTCTCCTTTCGATCTCCTTCCTTCTCCTTCTTCCTTCCTTCCATCCATCCCTCCTCCCTCCTCCCCTTTTTCCTTCCTCCCTTCCCTCCCTTTTCTCCTTCTCCCCTCTTCCCTTTTATCTCCCTTTTCACTCATTTTTTTATTCCCTTTTATTCGGCAGCTCCCCCGGCTGGTGCCATCGTCGCCCTGCCGGGCACCAACGTAACCCTGCCGTGCCCGGAAGGGGAGCCAGTCAACCAGACCCTGTTGCGTTGGAAGTTTGAGAAAGAACCGGTCTCTTCCGCCATCCCTGCAGTGTGGGACACCTCCCAGGCCGGCCTTTTCCTTCCCTTCGTCCACCCCAACCATTCGGGCTCTTACAGCTGCTTCGAAGGGAGCCGAGTCCTTCGTAGCCACCGCTTGATCGTCGAAGGTAGGAGTTTCATTCCTCCTTGGGTTCTTTGCCTCGCTCCGGGGTTCCTGAGCGCGTGCAGAGTGCTTCGCGGGACCCTGACGGCTTCTCTCTCTCTTTTTCTTCCCCAGAGCCTCCTCAAATCCCAGACTTCACCTGTTTCCGCAGGAGTTTAGCCAAGGATATTCTCTGCGAGTGGAAGACATTTTCTCCCGTGTTGCCACGCACCAAAGCTACCCTCTGGATGCAAAGGTCTGTATGCGAGAGCCGCCGCTGCCCCACCTGCAAAAAACACGGGTCGTCCCTGGACTTACGACCGTTCCCTTTAGTGTCCCGTTTGAAGGGAGAACGACGCTTGAAAGGGGAAAAAAAAACTGGCTTCGTTCTTCACACTGAACCGCTTCCGGCTCCCCCCGCACCCGGGGCCACTGGATCAAAAATCCAGCCGCTTGCACCGCCAACTCATAGTTATGACGGTCGCTGTGTCGTTCAACCCCGCCCTCCGGGGGTCATGACCTCCCTGACAATGGGGGAAGCCGGATTCGTTTCACAACCTGTGGGGCTCATTTAGGAATCGCAGTTGATTCCCCGAACAAAGGTGGCAAGGGAAGTCCGTAAAATGGGGCCCAAATCCACTTAACTCGCTTAGCGACAGAAACGTCGGGCTCCCTTGTGGTCGTAAGTCAAGGACTTACCTGGAAGGCAAAAACATAAGGCTAAAGAGTCAGGACCCGGGTGTTTCTGCGGCCGCCAAGCAATCCTTCCCTTTGACTGAGCCTCTTCATTGCCCGGAGTCTAGGGCTGGTGGGTCTCTTGAGGTCATCCAGCCCAGCCCCCCATGAGAGGAGCAGGAAACCTAAGCTGGGCTTCTTTCTCGAGATGGCTTCTTTTTGAGAAGATCAATCAGGGCTGGTGGGAGGACTCCGACTCCCATCATCCCCCAGCCAGCCGCAGCTTCCATGCCTCCCCAAACAGGTTCACGGGAGGGAATGTCACGGAGCAACTATGCCGCTACTACAGCCGGTCCCGGAAGTTCTTCTGCCGCGTTCGAGGGCTGAACAACGAGGAACATGAGCTGCTGCTGGTGTCTGTCTGCGTGGCCAACCTGGCAGGGACGGCGCGGAGCCATAAATCCTTCCACACGGATATTTTGCGTGAGTGCGCTTGTCTCTACCCAACCCAGGTGCCATTAGAAGACAAAAGCCCCCAAGGGTATCTCCACCCAAGGAGCAATGCAATCTCTGTATCTATCTTTCTTATCTATTGTCTTCCTTCCTTCCTTCCTTCATCTTTATCATCTAATCTATCATCTATCTATCTATCTGTCTGTCTATATATCTATCATCTATCTAATATATTATTATTTATCTATCTATATCATATATATCATTATCTATCAATCTATCTTTATCTATCATCTATTTTTATCATCTATCATGTCTGTCTATCTATCTATCTATCTATCTATCTATCTATCTATCTATCATCTATCTACTCTATCTTCTATCATCTATCTATCATTCTCTCATCTATCTATCTATCTATCTATCTATCTATCTATCTATCTATCTATCTATCTACCTACCTACCTACCTACCTATCTATCTATCATTGATCTATCTTTATCTATCATCTATCTTTATCATCTGTGTCTATATATC